AGCTCTGCACAGTTTAGTTCCAACCCTAATTAAACACACCTGATCAAACTAATTGAGTCCTTCAGGCTCGTTTGAAACCTACAGGTAAGTGTTTTGGGGTAGGGTTGGAACTAAACTGTGCAAGGCTTCGGCCCTCCAGGAATTGAGTTTGACACCCCTGGTCTAAAACAACCCAGAGTTTCCTATATAAGCAACCCATGTCAGATAGTAAGATGTATGTACAAGCCAAACAGATGTTATACCATTTTTACATTCATAACACATAAAAAACTCGTCTGAATCTAAAGTTTTAAATATTTCAATTTTAAAAAATGAAAATATGAGTAAAATAATGTTCTATTTACAATACAGCAATACATTTATGTAATGATGACAAGAAACAAATTTTGACTTATTATTATTATAATATATAAGTAATGAATAATCATCTTACTGGCAAATGTGTTTGAATGTTCATAAAAGATAATTATTGAGGTTAAATATGATGACTGATTTCAACATAATAAATAATTATGTATTTAATATGTCGTCAAATACACCTTTGCTGGTCTTTATCTTGCATTTTAGTGAATTTGTTCTGTAGATATGAAGATAAATAAACATAAATAAATTTCTGTAAACTCTCCAGTATCTTTAGTAATACTAACATTTTTTCCCAGCCTGTTAAACTGTATTATTACATTTATTTATGCATTAAGTATAATGTTTTAATGCAAATTTAATGCAAACTCGTCTCCAATGTTCATCAACCTTCTGGAACTTGCCTGTCTCTTTAAAGCAGGATTATCTGATTGGCTGTTTGCGGTTGTTACGTGACCTGGATGCGGTACTGGATTGGTTATTTGTAGAAATGCGACCAAAATGTTGCGGCTAATAATTATTCCAAATGCAGTATCATGTTTATTCTCCTAGAGGGCGCCTTATAGCAGAATGCTATTTCTTAAGACGTGTTTTAATAATAATAATTATAAAAATATTAATAATAATAATACCTTTTATTTATAGGCACCTTTCAAGAGCACTCAAAGACTCAAGTATGTCACAGGCACAATATAAAAACAAGACAGAAAAGTAATAAAACTTAGTATTAATCCAGAAAGTCATTAAAAGCAATCCTGAACAGAACGGTTTTAACCTGGGATTTAAAATATAGAGATAGAGGGAGATAGGGAGATAGAGTCCACCTGTTCACCTATTTAGGGATAGAGTCCACCTGAGAAATATCTAACGGCAGGGAATTCCATAACTGTGGTGCTCTGCGGCTAAAAGCCCTGCCACCAAATGACTTCATCTTAAAATTAGGAACTGACAACAGTTCAGCCGTAGAAGCTCTCAGTGAACACCGAGGAGTGTACCAGTGAAGAAGATCAGAGAGGTAATCGGGTGCCAGGTTGTGAAGAGCT